TATTATTATTATTATTATTATTATTAGAAAAAAAACAATAATTAAAAAAATAATTTTAATTGATAATCAATTTATAGTTCATTAATACTCTTCTATCAATCTAACAACTTCCTTAAAGAAGTGACATAATTTTGGTGGGAAAACAGCACAAGCATCTATAAGCATTAGCAAAAATTATTTATACAATTCTATTAAGTTTTGTGACATTAGCTGGTTTGCCTAAAGTGTTTATCTTTTTCTATTAAAATGACAATTTTATCATCGTTTATTTAATTTGTTTTAAATAGACATTTATTATTTTATTTAAATATATATATAAAAAACACAAATGTTTGCCACTTCATGTATACTAACTCTAAGGTTTGTTTTCTCTTTTCCATCCAAGATTGAAATGAATCTTTCCATCCAGTTAAGAGTTCAGAAATAAAATATTAAGAGTTCAGAAGGTGCTTAACATGAATGACTCAATTTTAAAGTAATGAACATTACATGAACATACAGCACATACCAAACCCTTCCAAAATCTTTGCACTGCCTTAGTCTCTTCCTCCACCCCATAAAGTAAATTAAAGAAATAAAAAGCTCTGTCTCTGTGAGCTGAGTAAAAGTCAACTGGTCCTGTTTTATTTATTGTCTTCCATTAATTTATTGTTGAGAGGAGTTTGTGTGAATCAGAGCTCATCCACAGTGTTTCTCTGTGAGTGTGTGTATATATGTGTGTGTGTGTGTACCTGGTATTTATCACGTTATGGGGACCAAATGTCCCCACAAGGATAGTAATACTAGTACATTTTGACCTTGTGGGGACATTTTTGAGGTCCCCATGAGGAAACAAGCTTTTAAATCATACAGAATGAGTTTTTTTGAGAAAGTAAAAATGCACAAAGTTTCCTGTAAGGGGTAGGTTTAGGGGTAGGGTTAGTGTAGGGCAATAGCACATACAGTTTGTACAGTATAAAAACCAATACGCTTATGGAATGTCCCCATAAAACATGGAAACACAACGTGTGTGTGTGTGTGTGTGTTTGTGTGTTGCTGGTATTATTGAATATGCACTACAAAAAAAGTGTAGTGTTTACTTTGAAATAGTAATTTTCATATAGAATGACAAAAATGTAACACGCTGAATTAAATGTGACATTTTAGAATGACTGTAATAGTTTTTTTTCTTGTAAAACATACTCCAATTATTTTTATTTACAACTTTAAACTATTTTATACTACTACTACTACTACTAATAATAATAATAATAATTTGCACCTTCGTGCTGATATCATTATTATTTACATAATTAATAATTATTTAGCTTTTTCCCCCCAGATTGTGAGCTGTGAGGGCTGAGGAAGACAACTCAAGTCATTTTCTGGCACTTCATCACATTGGGCCTCCGATTTCCATGTGGAAAATCTTTGCCTGTAACACAGGTTTCTGCCAGAGTTCAGTGACTATTCACCATTACATAAAGCAGAGAAGAAAAATATGCACATGTTAGTTTGTAACGTGAACTGTTTTTGTCTGAAGTCAAACAACTAGAATGACTTAAACTACACAGGAGTGACAAAACTTCCACTCAGAGTGGATGCAGTGTATTGAGGAGCCTGAGATTTGCTCCTGATACATTTGAATGATGACAGAGTGAGAGCAAAACATGAAATTGCAATTACCACCATTTGACTATCCCTGACTAGAGGTTAATGCTTTTTAAAACTCTTCACGATATTTGACTACTTTCTGCTAAACATAAGATCTTTTCCATATCTCTGAACATTCATTCACGTTTGCTGTGTCTTAGTGCTCACATCAGCATGTTTATCTAACTGTTCTTAGAATTTGCACACGTTTTAAGTACCCTGCAGTAAACAGCTGACGTGAAAACCAAAATGGCATTGTGACTAAGAAAAGTTTGGACAACAAACAAAATGAGATCCCTTAAGGGGGCCTGCTTTTGAGAAGAAATCTCAGTTCATTCACTTGCTCGGGACCCTCATGGAGAGCAGCTGTGGGGAGCGGATGGATCTTTGTAGTGCTGTCATGACTCGCCTCCAAGTTCTCATGGCGTTTTAGTAATGAATTCTTCAGCAGACATTTTTACCCTGAGCTCAAGAACACATTTAAACATTGGGGAAGTTTGAGTCTGATATTATCCAATGGTTCTCTGCTAGAATAT